GTCACCACGGGCTGCACAGCAGGAATGATCTCTCAGTCTGTTTATGTTAATGCACTTTATGTATACCCATTCATTTTTCCCATTATACTGTTTGTTAGTGGTCTATGTTGTGTAATTTTAAAGCCCTTGGGCATGGTGCATTTGTGCCTGACTTGTATAGATGCACGGCTCGCTGCTGTGTGAGGGGAGTGAAAGGAAGAAGATAATAGATTGTGTGTTGGCTTGTGAAGATGGAGTTAGTCATGTCATTGCTGTCCATTTGAATTGTTGAAGGAGGTCTGTGCGACATGTTTAGGCAAGAAAAGCACACGATATGTTCTCTTATTCCATTTTAATATTGGTTATCTGTCCATCTTTCTTCCCATCTCCATGTGGATTAGTAAGATTGTTACTTTGTCCAGAAGCTACAGACCTGTTACGCTTGACTGCACTTCCCAGAAAGCTTTTTGGTTTTCTTGAGTGCCTCTAGGTTATTAAATGATTTTTGGGGTATCATTAATGCTACAAAGATTATGAGATTTGAGTTGATTTGAGTCAGATTTGTTGAAGGTTATACACTGATGTTTAAAGCAATATTCTGGTTCAGTTATTTTCATTTGAATGTGTGTGTCCCACATCTGGCATACTGTCAATAATTACTACAGACAAAAATAAACAATTGTAAACCTGTTTTAGTAGAATATCTTGTACCAATAAATCATATTTTATCATTCATGTTGACTCGAATATGGTGAGAAAAGGATGCCAATAAAACTTGAATCAGTTTCATGAATCCTTCACTGAAAGATTCAGCGGTTACTGAGTCAACATAATGAATCTCACTTACTGAATTTAAAATAATATTATTATTATTTTATTAAAGTTAATCTAGAAATTAAGCTTGTTTTGTGTACTTTAGTGTTCATTAACCCATATTAAAATGAAATTCCTTTTGACAATGTGTAGTTAGTTACATATAGAGCCCGACCGATAAAGGATTTTGAAGGCCGATACCGATACAAATATTTTTGGGTTTTAAAATCCGATATTCCGATATATCGGCCGATATTTTATTTGTTTTTTTTAAACTGGATAGTCACAAACTGATAGTCACAAATTTTGTCATGCTTATTTGAGTTAAGAGAACTGATGTGGGTGTTCTTTTAATTGTTATTCAAGCAATGTATGTCTCGTGACCAACTCAACGAGTGTTGCCAACAGGAACGGTGTAGAGGGCCCTCTGGTGGACAAACTATACAACTCCAACACTCATGACATTTTGAAATATTCATTTATCGGCCATTATAACTGCCGATACCGATAGTTTGGAAAATGCCAAATATCGGCCGATAATAACGGTCTGCCGATATATCGGTCTGGCTCTAGTTACATATATAGTGGCTGGTTTTGGGTTGACCCCAATCAACATATTTCCCTGACATATTTCTTAGAGATTTACCAAGATGTCATTTCTTTTTTAAAAGGTACGAATTTAGAAGTAAAACGACTTTAAGGGAGTTTATTGTGCTGATGGTCTAAATATCAAAGATATATATATATATTCTTTTTTTGTTGTTGAAAAAATGGTTGTTGGTGGTAATCAACATTGATGTAGTTCATAGACATAAAGTAGAGTTGAAAATAACTTCAATGTCCATTCTAATGGGTGAGGTTGAGGCAGAATGTGTGTTAGTCAGCAGCACAGAGTCAAACCTCATGCTCTCTGACCATATTTACCATAGGGGAATGATGTCATTTACAGTATCTCTTGCAGCCTTCCCCTAATTGCTTCTGTCTTTCGCTTCCTCATCTTGATCTTCCTCCGTCACAGAGATGTATAAACCATCTCTCATTTTTCCTGAAAGCACTTAACCAAAACGTGTGAGAAGGAACAGCTGAAGACGAGCTTAGTAAGAGATGACTCTTCTCCTCACATCGTTGCCTCATCTTCCCCTCGTGCCAATCCACTAATCCCTGCGCCATTCCCTAGATTAGGATTATCGGCCTGTGAGGGGTGGTTTTAATGAGCTGTAATTGATTTGTAAGCACAGATCCACCAGACTGTGTCAGGAAGATTAAATTAGGTTTGTTTGAAGCCCCAGGTCTCATTTTTCCCTTCCAATGTGTGATCCTGGTAGTGGTGGGACAGAATTCCCAGCTGGGGTGTGTGGCTTTCGGGACCGATCTATCTTACAGAGTTCCTGCTTTCCTGCTGAGGGTGTTTGCCCCTTCCCCTTGGACAAGGCCTGTCTGGGAAGTCAGCCATGACCAAGAGCAGGCTTTATTCATCTAAACACATTTTAGTGGAGTGGAGGGAGGAGCGACACAAGCTGGTAGTGCACAGTAAATTTGAAATCCGGAAATCAACACCAATGGAGTTAATTTCAACACTTTAAACGTGTATATATGGGAACCACCCACAAAGTGTTTGTTCAACCCTTTCAAAAGTGTTGCCTCTCGCAACACCGACACAGTGTTACAATACGATCAGTAACTGTGTTTTCATGAACGCATGTTTGAAATAAATATTTACTTAATTAAGTGGTAAATGTGTTTTTGCTACAAACACAGCATAAAAATGTATGTTAAACCACTGGATTCTCATTGAGTACTTTAAAGGGATACTCCACTTTTTTTTGGAAATAGGCTCATTTTACAACTCTCCCAGAGTTAAACAGTCGAGTTTTACCGTTTTCGAATCCATTTAGGCGATTTTCTGATTTTTTTTTTGAAGAATATCAGTAACCAGACAGTTTCTTGTCTCATTGACTTCCATAGTATATTTTTTCCTACTATTGATGGTAAAGCTGAATTTTCAGTAACAAAAAACTCCAGTCTTTATTGTCGCATGATCCTTCAGAAATCATTCTAAAGCCTGGGACACACCAAGGCGACTTCAAATAACTAGCGGCAAAGAAAACCGATGGTGTGTCGGCTGCGTCTTGTCTCTTGACCAAAAAGCTGCAGTTGAACACACTGCACAGACTACAGCTGACTGCAAACTCCGTCTGTTGTGCACCTGCGTGTATGGAATTAACCAGTGGTGGAATGTAACGAAGTACAAATACTTCATTACTTTACTTAAGTACATTTTTCACGTATCTTTACTTTACTTAAGTACAATAAATAGTGCCTACTTTTTACTTTTAATTCGTTACATTTTGCAGCAATTATTATACTTTCTACTCCACTACATTTCTACAACTTCTGTTACATTTTCGTTACATTTTCTGATCAGTTTTTCCCCTGCCAAAACGTAATCTGATTGTCCGTTCGTTGCACGTTTGTCTCACCAGTGACGTTTGGTTGCCATAGATACAGTATATCAACCCGGTCACACTAAATGCGTCTCACACGCAGTGTGTTTATCATGCAACTCATACGCGAAAATTTGTTTTTACGTGCATAGGAAACACACCGTGTGTAATATATGTTTGGTTTGGATTATGGCAAGCCAAGAGGTTCAGAATTACACCATAAATTAATCGCGTTTACTGCCAAACATAGTTATTAACATATAGTAAGGATAAGCATGATATTGCCTAATTGCAAGCTTGTTTCAGAAATGGTGACATTTTTTTTCCATCATTATTGAACATCATTATAGGAGTAGGCTATTAGGTTGAATGAGTTAGAATTAAATGTTTTATTAATCATTAGAAAATAGACATTAAGATAATAAATTGTTATGCAAGTACTTTTACTTTTAATACTTAAAGTACATTTAAAATAAAGTACTTTTTACTTTTTACTTAAGTATGGTTGTCATTGTGTTACTTCTACTTTTACTAAAGTAAATATTTATCTGGGTATTTGTACTTTTACTTAAGTACTGAGTTTCAGTACTTCCTCCACCACTGGAATTAACTGTCTATATCAGTAGGCAACAATAGTCTACATTTCAAAAGAAACCAAAACGAAGATATAGGGAATATACACAGATGTTCAAAATGTAAACAAAGCAGTTCTTGCTTACAAATTTGTATATCAGTTATGTTGATAAGATAACTTTATTTACATGAGATGAGTCTAACACCGTGTCCTAACTACACGTGATGCGACGCTGCGACACGTGATAAAAGGTATCCTTTCCATGTTAATCTGAGTTTTTGTCCTAACCAGACGTGACGGCGACACGCAAAGTTTCTAATTTAAAAACGGTTCCTATTTCTGCGGCGTCGCGGCTGACCGAATTAAAAAATTACACTGGTTTTGAGTACACATTATTTTATTTTTAGTTAAAAATAGGTCACTGTGCCACAAGCGATAACGAATAATTTACCTCAGATTTTGAAAGCGTATAATATAGCGTTCAAAATGAATTCTATGCAAACATACAACTGTTTTGTCATAACAAAATTAGTCAATGAGTATATTTCGTTAATGTTTTGATTTTTAATAAAGTTATTTCTTGATTTGATTGTCCTTACCCATTTCCAATGCGAGTGCGGGCCAGAAGTGCGCTTTCACGCTGTTCTGATCTGGCTGTGATTTTTGATTGACGTGTGGCGTCTCACAGTCGCGTCGTGTCTAGTGTGGACACACACTTGCTGTCGCTGGAATTTAATTGCATCGCATGTAGTTAGGACACGGTCGGTGTAAGCCTGACGATAGCAGACAAGTGGAACATACCACAAAAACTAGCCCGACAGATACTCGCTGACCGCCTACTTGGCGTGTCCCGGCCTTAATATGTGTAAATTGAAAACCATGTTTTTTTTCATGTCTTTACTGTGATTTCTTTTTGTTAAATTGACTGAATTATTGTTGAATGAAAGTATCTTTTGAAGTGTAGTGTATATTTTCTATCCTTATGACAGTGGTGTATTTTCTTTGCATGTCAATTGCAATAAACATTTCATAGTGTCACTAGTCATCACAACTGCATTTTCACACAAATGTCAAGACTTTTTATCAAGAGAAGTTTTGAACCTGAGTCAATTGAGGCAAATAGACAATTTTAACATATTGTAAAGCCTCTATTTTGGGTCACTTCTCATGTGTTCCTCTTTGTTTTTCAGATACTGACTCCTGTCATTGCAATAGCTGGCGTTGGACGGGGTGTTGGACCCTCCCCCTGCACAGCGACAGAATGAGACAATAGCTGGGGGTTTGGATGATATCCCTCCCCCTCCTCTTTGTTTCCCCCTCCTACATATCCAAGACGCATATACATACTCACTATCTTACACCAACACACTACAAAACAGTACCCTGGACCTCTCTGGCCCCCATGCTTTACTTTGTAGGGGCCATGAGACTTTTACAGGGCTGCTGCTGTTTTTGAGAACCCTTTGGGAACAAAACAATCAATTTCCTCTCAGCAAGTTGACGCATCCTTCCGGTGCCTACGGCTTTGGTGGAGCTTGACGGGATCTCAGTAGATCATTGAATCATGAAAACACCAGAGGACCACTGGGAGCTTACATTTGGAGTTGTACATTAATAGGCTAAAGACTGCCAGTGAGGAAATCAAATCTAATTCAACCTGCAGCAGGTCTGAACGTCTTTGAGAAGATATGATACCTCTCCTTAGCCAATTCATCCACCACATCTGAAGTGCCTTGTATTCCATCAAACTGTTTTTTTACCTCTTCTCCACATATCTGATCTAATCCTTAAGATTCATTTGTTTACATCTCCAGGCCTTATAGCTTTCCAAGACATATCTGTTTATTTGTTTGTTTCTGTTTGCGTGCATAAGAGTCGCAATCGGACGTATCTGAGATACGAGGAATGAGACCACCGTAGCGTTCTGTTACTCAAACTTGTCAACCCAAACTCACTCAGACTGTTCATCTGACTGTCAAACTTGGTGCAGTACTTCCACTTTACGGTTCCGTCACCATGTACACGCTGCAGTCCAAATGGCGTTACCTGATCATGTTCTTGGGTGTCCAGTTAGTGGTCATGGCTCTTCTCTCCAGAGAGGGCTATCAGAAAAGAGTGTCATATTTTTTCCGAATTTTCCGTAAGCCTGATTCTACAACGGGACATGCAGTCGGGACACGCAACCACACGGATGTGTATGCCAACCTCTCCCTTTTAGGCCCTCCTGTTAATAAAGAGGACATGCCCTACTGCCCGAAGCAGTCTCCACTGATTGGTGAGTTCAGTAGTGTGTTATCAAGTTGTCCGATCCCGATCTCTCTCTATTGTGAATGCATCATATCAGGGTGTTAGTTGTAATAAATAGCCTGGGAGCTTCCTCTCGGTATAACAGGTTTTTTTTTTTAAATAAAAGAAAGGATGGTCAAGTGAGATTGAAACCCAAAAAATACATTATTATGGATAGCATGGAAAATCTAGGTTCAGTCTACTAACTTTGGGCTCAGTATAAACAATAAAATGTGAATATGTAAATATACTATTAACTTATTAAAAGTCTTTTAAGTCAATACATCCTGTTCACACTCTTTTCTTATGTTCAGGCGGACCTATTCATGTCACTTTCCCCTCTGGGCTTACTCTTGCCGAGATTGAGAGGAAGAATACCCTTGTTGTCCGTGGGGGGCGCTACAGGCCACCAAACTGTGAGGCACGCCATCGCACCGCAGTAATCATTCCCCACAGAAATCGGGAGCACCACCTCAAGTTCCTCCTCTACTATCTGCATCCCTTCCTACAACGACAGCAGCTCAACTACGGCATCTACATCATTCACCAGGTGCGCCTCATAAATATTCAAATTCGAGTTCAATGACCTGCAAGAAATAGTCAATCTATGGGTCATTGTGTCACTTTAAGCATTACATAGTCTTGTCGGTGAAGGCAAACATTGCAAGTTAGTTTTGTTCAGGAAGTATGACAATGAAATTAAAAACCTTAAGGCTTCATAGATAAGTGGCTAATGGTACGTTTCCCAGAAATTGTCAATCAAACCCTTGTGAATAATGTTTGATGTCTTCTGTAGTAGACCATTTGTATCTTCATTTCACTCTAAAAAATGCTGGGTTGTTTTAACCCAACTTTGGGTCAAATATGGACAAATCCAGACATTGGGTTAGATTTTTAAATTACATTTTTAACCCAGTGTTTGACCAAAAATTGGGTTAAAACAACCCAGCATTTTTTAGAGTGTTTGATTCCCTCACATCAACAAAGGTCAGACTATGGTTCTTGCATTTAAGCTGTACATTATTTGGTTTCCAAAGCAAGTTTTTATTTTTATTTACTACATTTGGCACTTTGGTGAGTGTTCATTTTAGACCTTGCTCACAGTAAAATGTATTTGTTGCTTGGTTACATATCAGATTAGATATGTAGTTTTATTATAATACAACTCAAGAGTGCCTCCTGCTCTTTCCTGCCAGAGCCTGTTGTAATCACTTCATCCTGTTATATCTGTCGATGCAAACCTGTACAACTCACTCTGACATGTCAGTTCCTTGTCATCTTTTGCTCTCCCCTTGCTCATCTCCCATTTTAGTGAACAACAATGATCCTAATACAACAGTGTGCCAGATTCAGAGCTGTTTCCCAGAGCTATTGTGTGGATTTATTATTGCGGGTTTCCTAGGTTAATACAGTTTTATGTAGGATTATAGATGTACGGCATGAAACGTTTGGAATCGAATTGTTTTTGCTCCTGACCTGTGAGCCTCGATGAGATTGAAATCCCATATGTGCTAGTTGAGTTGAACTTTGATTCGGTCACATGCTTTGTGCTGTTGTAATCAGACATTCAATTCATCAAAAGTGACAAAGACTTCTACTAAAGACTTCTACTTTCTACTTAAAATTAATACTATTTATAGACTATAAAACATAATTGGATTACTATCAGAAGAAAACTATCTCCTTTCATATGTTTCTGACTTTGATATTCCCACCTCTTATCAAGAGGGTAAGGATTAGACCGTAATCCTCATTAGTTTTGTCTCTGAAAATCCTGATCACATTATAGATTCAGTCCATTTTTATATAATATAAATCTATGCACTGCTGAGTCTGAATGTCTTGGCATTATAAATTGTCATAACAATGACGCTCTGTGTGTGTAGGCTGGTAATTACACCTTTAACCGAGCAAAGTTGATGAATGTGGGATTTCGTGAGGCCATGAGGGAGGAGGATTGGGACTGCCTCTTCTTTCATGACGTGGACCTTATTCCCGAGGACGACCGTAACACCTACGCCTGCGACGCTCACCCAAAACACGCCGCCATTGCCATGGACAAATTTGGCTACAAGTCAGTGATCCGCTGCGCATTTCATTTGACTTCATTTGCCTGTTTTCTACTTCAACACCTACACATATTTACAATCAGATCAATTTACAACACTTTTGTGGAATAAATAAGATAAGAATTTGTGGAATAAAATGACTCTTTACCATTTTATGTTCGCTACAAATTTTATAATATTTAAATTATAATAAATAAATATTATATTTTATTGGTTTCTCACACAATTTATATTTAAAAAGTATCAAAAATAAATTATAATAAAAGATGGGGGGAAAAAAAACCCTGTAATAATAAAATACCTGTGTTGAATAAACACTCATAACACCTGAACCAATTGTTATCTGTACTAAACTGAATAAATACATTTATAGTATTTTTATGCATTTCTCCTTCCTGTTACCACTCAGACTGCCTTATAAGATGTATTTTGGAGGAGTGTCGGCTCTGACCCCTGAGCATTACCTCAAGATGAACGGGTTCCCAAACAATTACTGGGGCTGGGGTGGTGAGGACGACGACATCGGCATCCGGTGAGTGAGCGAGTGCGTTTATTTGCTGGGGTGGGTTGAGTGTGTGCATGGATGCTTTGTGTGTGTGTGTACATTAATGGAGAGGTTTGCGTGGGAGGAGATCTGTCCTTGTGATGCTGCTGGCCATTGAACCACCTGTCTTTTGCTAGCTATGTCAACTTCAAAGCTAGTGTCAACATCTGAGGGTGTGTGACTGTCTGCTCTGCTTCATAGGGATGGATTGTGTGTTCTGATGTTTTATAAAGTTATACCCAGAGTCATGGCTCACCAGCTCAGCCTCAAATGATCAAATATTGTCATGCTATACATTTTAAAATCAGTTTAAATACAAAGAAGTTCACTTGGGCTGCATGATATATCGTTACAGCATGGACAACACAATGTGCTCATCCACGGCAGTCACACTGCACCGTAGTTATAGGAACCGTAGTTGATCCAGGATCAGTACCGACTAGTCCCCTTGGTTTGGAATGCTTGTGATTTCCAGATTAATTGCAAAGTTTTTACATGTTTACACTTGTTTTTAACGTGAGTTTAAAGCATTCAAGCACAAAATACAAAACTCAATTCATAACACTCGCTGTTGTTTTCTGCCATGCAAAAAACAAATGTATTATTCTTTCTACTTTTATTAGACATTATTTGCAAAATTATGTCAAAATGCCTGTCTCTGCAAAAATCCGTGTTGCTTTTGTCTTAAGTGAACTTAAACAATTGAGAAAGAAAATGGATGCGTATCATTATATTGGATCTGTGCATTGGCTCTTGTGCATTGGCCCTAGTGACTGCAGCTTAATATTCCTGTTGCCAAATGTGTCATAATAATAATCACTTGTGACTTTTGTACCTTTAACAAAGATTAATTATATTTAATTGATACAATTATATCATATATTATATTATCATTACTAATTATATTTAATTTATGCAGTGTTATTTTACATTTGACCAAGTTTCTCTACTTGAATAGTGAATACTGTTAGACTTGCCTGAAAAACACAAAGCCCTGTTTATTTCATTTGTATCTTTGCTCTCTATTTTATTTATCTATGCTTGTAATATGTTTTATTTTCTATGTGGATGCACTCAAACCACCCCAGTCATTCTAGAACGATTAATTCTTTCCAAATAGAGCTATTCAAATCATCTGGTGAATTCTTTTATATTGCAGCATATAAAAACTAAATATTGCAATGTCCGTTTTTATCCAATATCATGCAGCCCGGCCTAATTGTCATTTAACGGTAACTCAAAAAAAAAAGCAACGTCTGTCAAGACAGACTTGGAATGGTGGCTTGAAAAGTTTGGACAAAGTTAAAAAAGATTTATATGTTTTTAAATGCCACTTATAGAATTTTAGTTTACATGCATTACTGTTTCAAAATTTTCAGTCACTAAGATTAGTTTTTTGTTTTTGAAACGAGTCTCTTCACCAAGGGTATATTTATTCTATTTATTTGTTCAAAATACAGTAAAAATAGTGTTACAATTTAAAGTACTGTTTTCTATTTTAACATTTTAAAATGTAATTTATTCCTGTGAAATTTTCAGCATCATTACGCCAGTCTTGAGTTGTCACATGATCCTTCAGAAATCATTCTAATGCTGATTGGTGTAATATTTGGGGGGGATTTTGTCAGGATTAAAAAGAACAGCATTTGTTTAAAATGGACATCTTTACCTGTGTTGAATTTCTTAAGTAAATTCCTCTTCCTGCCATTCTGGTTCAAATTCAGGGAATGGGGCACTCATGAATTGAATGGCAACCAGTAACTCAATCCCGAGTGCCTCCTTCTGTTTTTTTTTGTTTGTTTTTTTTGCACACTATTTAACATTCTTCATCTTCTCAGGGTCTCGCTCGGAGGAATGGTGATCAGTCGTCCGTCTCTAAACGTGGGCCGATATAAGATGATCAAACACAAGCATGACAAAGGCAATGAAGTGAATCCCAAAAGGTAGAATCGCCTTACAAACATCACAAGATGTGTTTTAACATCTTTCTGTAGTGCAATAACATTCAAGGTGTGGTCAGATTAGTGAAATTTCACAGTGCTTCATTGTCTGTCGTTAATAGTGTTGTGACACACACACACATTGTATAACACAATGTGGTGTGGTATGACACAATTACTATTCCTTTTTGAATTGCCTGAAAAACACCTCATGCAAGAGTACACTTTTTTGCAATTATATGGCTGTTTACTAGTGAAACAGACATTATTTTGGGCGTATTTTCAATTAACAATTGTTAAATGTGACTGCACCTTAACACGTTTCTCTTTAAAATGATGAAATCATCTCCTAGTACTCCTCTGTTCAAGATGTTTGCTCTCATGCAGGTTTAACATGTTGGCTAAGACCCGGCACACATGGAAAAATGACGGTATGAATACGGTGGATTATGAGATCGTGTCCCGGGATTATCAACCTCTTTTCACCAACATCACAGTCAACATTGGCACCGAGGCAGGGCTGCACCCGCCCAATAAAAAGACTGATTCTTAGCATGCTCCCAGCATTCTTGTGGATCCCCGAGGCACAAATCATTGCCGGACTGCACATGGCCAGTGAATCCAGAGGACATCATGCCTTTACTGCACCACAGACTTAGTGGTCTCTCTCTCTCTCTCTCTCTCTCTCTCATATTTTCTAAAGTTTGACATTTCGATCCTGTGCTCACTGGTTCACTTTATAAGTCAGGATGCTGCAGAAACTGGTCCACATATTGACCACTTCGCAGAATCGGTTTTGGACCACTCTGCAGGAAGGATGTGTTTCCTGACGGACAGACTGTTCAAACGTCCTCTGTGCCCATGGGCACCATTTATAAACCTCTTTTGCCTTAGAATCAAGCTGCACTCTCTTTACATTTCTTCCATGACAATTGAAACATAGATTCGGCCTCCCGTGGTAGGGTGAGGCTGACTTTTAGGTGAAGGGTAACATTTATTTTTTTTTTGCCATGTGATGGAAACAGTGTACGGCATAAGCAACGTTGTTTTCTGCACTACTCTGTGAGTCAGGTGCATTTCCTGTTCAGTAAATGAGTACTTTTGGTTATGTACTGTGTTGTTGTCCAGACAAATGGAGTGATATTTTGTTATATATCTTCCATTTTTGGGTAACTCTCTCAGAACTGGGTTCTTTGGTAGTAATAACCACTCTACATATACTGACGTTCTCCTTTTTGCCTTTGGTTGACTTAGTAATAACGTTGGCATTTATAATCAACGCGCTGCCTCTCATTTTCATGAATTACTCAACACATTGTATTTGATCCTTTTTTATGATTGGCTGGCTGCGTGCGGTGTTGTCATTTGCTTTGGATTAGTAATAGTGTTGTTGAATGTAGCTGCATCTCTCTTCTTGGTCAGAGAATGTCACGTCATTGCAGAGTGCATCACGGTGATTCTGTTCGGGTTGGCTTTGTGAAGAGTTTATGCTGCTTTTTCCTCATGTTTCCATTTGAGTCCAATATTTATCAAATTTTTGCCCATTCAAAAGGCATAAGTAATACCATTCTTCCGTAAATTCTCCATTTGAATAAAATGCCCTAATATTTGTAAAAAAAAAAAACATTCTAATTTGAATGGAAATGAATTAACTTTAAAACCATTATGTAAATTGTTGGATTGAATTGAATGCATTCATGTTTGTAAAACAATTTTTAGATAACACTGTTATGTTGACTTAACTTAAAGTGATGAAACCTGTTGCCTTAAAATGATACGTGTAATTGAAAATTGTTTCACATAACTTTATTTTTTTTTTCAATTATGCATGGTTTATTTACTTAATAATTTTAAGGCAATAGGTTTTCTCACTCTTTAAGTTGTCAGTAAAATTGTTCCTTGAATCAAATGGACTGAGTTTTGTAAAACCGTTCTTACGCAAACTGACGCATTAAATTAAAATCTCCTTTTCTCCTAACTATTCTTGCGTAAATTAGTAAAACCATTCTTGCGTAAATTGGTGCAACAAATCGAATGCTCCAACAATCATGAATTAAATGTAAGTTAAATTCATAAACCATTTTTACATTGAATATAATGCATGAAAAACCATTCTTTAAATTATTGCATTGTCAAATGCGTCAATATTTGTTAAACCAATCTTGCGTAAATTGTTGCATTTCAAATTTAATATACAAATGTTTGTAAAACCAATTTTACATAAATAGCTGCAGTGAATCATATATGCGCTATCAATCATAGAACCATTCCTATTAAACTATCCCCTTAAATTCCACGTGCCAATGTTCACAAAACATTCAACGCAATCGAACAATTTACACATTTGTTGTTATATTTGTTCATGACAACCATCATTGGCAAAATATGACAAAGAAAAAAAAGTTAATTATTGCTGACTGAAACTGCAAAACTGTTTATGAATTTAGGAAAATATCACTGCTAAAATTTAGTCTAAATCCTGGCCTTCACATGTAAACCTTGTTTTTGCCATGCCTCGTCTACCCTCTAAACGTCTCTCATGGTGACGCGGACTCTGTGCTGATCCATTTGTTTCAAACTGATCTGTGCATAAAGGAAGGCATACTTGCATTTCATATTTGTGTTTGTGAGACTGAGAGAACTCGATCATAAATTATTTTTCCGATTGCTGTTGTTCTCTGTGGGAATGTGAAAGGTGGAGGTATCGCTCCCCTCTTTACTCATTTGTCTGCTGTTGGGAGCTTGTGATGAGGCTTGTGATGAAAAATAAGTCATTGGATGTCATTAAGGCAGAGATACCAAAAATTCATATCATAATTTTTTTTTTTTTTTTACAAGCATGTTTTTTTTTCTTTTATTGCTTAACTTCCTTTTTTCACATTTGTTTTCTTATTTTTTTTTTTACAATTAAAAAATGTTACAGTGGTCATTAATGGTCAGGTTAATTAAATCTGTTCCTTACCCAAGTGTGTTGGCTCAGATAGAGTGTAATGACTGTAAACATTTGATTTATTTTGGGGTGGCCCGAGATGTGTATTGTTCACATTGAGAATTTATATTTGATAATTATTCAGATCATCATCATAGAAGGTACTTTGAAAAATCCTCAGATCAGCCTTGAATTGCATAGTTTGCTATCTACAGATGACAGGCTGCACACTACTCAGGTGGGGTGATGGATTAGATGTTTGTTTCGAAATGTGCCTTACTGGGCATCAGTTTTCTCCTGTTCTTCAGTGGGCAGTGCTCTGAAAATGTTTAGGGTATATGTTTCTCTTTAAGCAGTCTGCACACTACTCAGCGGCCTTATGATGATTTAATAAAATGTTAATGTACTAAATGGCTCATGTGTTTTGTGACTGGTGTGTTTTAGAGATTTGTGCAATTTAAGGGTCTATTTGATTCATTTCTTTTTAAAGTGCTGCCAAAAAATTATTTACATCCCTTCATTAAAAAGAAAACCGTCGCTTGATAATCTTGAGGGATTTTTTATTTTTTTTACACACATTCATTTAATATTAGGTAAACGTAAGGCTCATACTTCACCCTGGATAGTCAGGTTTGCGATTTCACACTGGCTTATCCTTCTTATTTGCATATTTATGAGGTCAGAAGCATTGATTGGACAAGTACCACTTGTGATTGTGGAAATGTTGCCACCGATTCAATCTGAAAAGCTTCAGAAAAACGTTTTTTATCAATTCTAATATCTACTGACCGCTTTGTGAATGCAATGTGTATCGTAATTTCAGTTTTCAATTTTTCATCAATTGAGTAACTGTAAAATACCTTTTCGTTTCAGTTTGCATACATCTGTTCAACCTGCCACAGGAGCTGCTGATGCAGTTTTGAGTCTGCACTTCTGTCTGCTTCAGTCCTCAGAAGACTACAGCGGATAGTCTGGAGGACTGGTGAGAGAATCATCAGTATACTCCCTAAAAGGGCTGGAAAAATCACACTGGACCGCTCACATCCAGGACACTTCCTCTTTGAACTGTTGCCGTCTGGTAGGCGCGACAGAACACTGAACATAGTTATATTTAGTACACACAACCCTTACATTTGTATATACACATCGTCTATTTTATATTTGTATTGTGTATAATATATTTTTATTATTCGTGTCTTGTCGCTGTCATTCTGTCTGTGCTGTGGAAGCTTCTGTCTTCAAGACAAATTCTTCATACGAGTAAACATACTTGGCAATAAAGCTCATTCTGATTTACTATCATTGAATTGTATTATGTATAAGTAATATATCTGCCACTTAAAGGAGTAGTTCACTTTTAAAAAAACTTTTTGCTGATAATTTAATCTCCCCCATGTCATGAACGCGCATTACAGAACAGAGCAAGGCGACCATTTGTGCTTTTAAAACTTAAACTTTTGAAATGACAGATCGTTTCACTAGATAAAAGCCTTCTTCATCGTTTGGAATCGTTTAAAGCCCTTTGAAGCTGCACTGAAACTCTCATTTGGACCTTGAACCATTTGGTTCCCATTGAAGTCCATTATATGGAGAAAATCCTGGAATAATTTCGTCAAAAACCTTAATTTCTTTTCGACTGAAGAAAGAAAGACATGGACATCTTGGATGACATGGGGGTGAGTAAATTATCGGCAAAAGATTTGTTTTAAAGTGAACTACTCCTTTAACATATCATTAGTCATTAAAACCCTTATTGTTTGACCACTTATTAAACCTTTATGTAAAGTTTTACCCTTTAACATGAACAAAAACTAGCAAACAATACTTCTACAGCATTTATTCTTAACTATACTCTTGACTATATTGTAAATGTATGTAATTGATAGAGATTCATCATTCATTCACTTTTGTCCTCGTTATGTTTAAACAAATCAAGGATTAACCTACTCTGCTGAAATGTGGGATTCTCCAATCATTGACCACTTAAAGGAGTAGTTCACTTTAAAAAAAAAAAACTTTTGCTAATAATTTACTCACCCCCATGTCATCCAAGATGTGCACGTCTTTCTTTCTTTAGTCGAAAAGAAATAAAAGGGTTAGTTCACCCAAAAATGAAAATTAAGTCAGTAATTACTCACCCCCATGCTGTACCAACCCCGTAAGACCTTCGTTCATCTTCGGAACACAAATGAAGATATTTTTGATTAAATTTGAGAGCTGTATAACTACCACATTGGCTGCCTAAGGGACTGCCTCTTGACGGCCCAGAAAGTCAATGAAGAAAATGTTTAAATATCCCAAGTGACTACCGTGGCTCAACTATATGTTTATCAAGCGACGCGAATACTTTTTGTGCGAAAAAACAAACAAAAATAACAAGTTTATTCGACTATTCCTTTTCTTCCTTGTAGGCCAGAAACGAGACTTCCTTAGATTTCCACGGCGCATGCGCGAGAATTGCGATCTCCTTACACTACTTCAGTTCAGTTCTCGCGCATGCGTCGTGGAAATCTAAGGAAGTCTCTAAGGAAATCTAAGAGGCAGTCCCTTAGGAGCCAATGTGGTAGTTATACAGCTCTCAAATTTAATCAAAAATATCTTTACTTGTGTTCCGAAGACGAACGAAGGTCTTACGGGGTTGGTACAGCATGGGGGTGAGTAATTAATGACTTAATTTTCATTTTTGGGTGAACTAACCCTTTAAGCTTCAAAGGGCTTTAAACAATACCAGGCGCTAGCTAAGGGTCATATCAAGCAAAACGATCAGCCATTTCAAAGATAAGTTTTATAAGCACAAATTCTCACCCTGCTCTGTTCTGTGATGAGCGTTCGTGACTCTCCTGTTCGAACACGTTCATCAAAATGAACAAATCTTTTTTTCCGAGCCATTTTGCTCATTTCGTTCGTTAAATCAACCAAATGACTCGAAAAAAGATTTGTTCATTTTGATGAACGAGTTTGAACAGGACAGTCACAAACACGCATCACAGAACGGAGCAAGGCAAGCAATTGTGCTTATAAAACTTAAACTTAATTTTTTTAAATTACTGATTGTTTCGCTAGATAAGACCCTTATTCATCGTCTGGAATAGTTTAAAACCCTTTAAACAGTTTGCACTGTAACTCTCATTTGGACCTTGAACTGTTTGGTTACCAGTAAAGTCCATTATATGGAGAAATATCCTGGAATGTTTTCATCAAAAACCTTAATTTCTTTTCGACAGAAGAAAGAAAGACATGGACATCTTGGATGACATGGGGGTGAGTAAATTATCAGCAAAAAATTTTTTTAAAAGTGAACTACTCCTTTAAACCCAGCCGCTTCACAATCGACAGCTAACTCACATTTATTGTTTAATTGCAACGGTCAGATCTCAAAAGCCAATCAACAACTGATGAATAGAACCAGGAAGACTCCATCCCAATTTAACATAATCACAATGTTTCATTATTAACATTAACAAGTGCTGTAAAAATATATTGCTCATAGTTAGAGCATGCAAACTAACGTATTGACTTAAATTAACAAATGAGACCTTATTGTAAAGTTACTCATTTTAAAAAATGTTTTATTGTTTTTGTCCATACAGTTGAAGTCAGTGATGCACAATACAACACTGGAGTCTCTGGAACCCACCTTTCAAAATATCATCTTGTGTTTCATAGAAGACACAATTTTCATTTTTGAGTGAAAATGACAATTTCAAACCGAGTAATGAGACATTAACACAGCTGTGCAAAGAAACTCTTTAATCTGTATTACTCGTTAAACATGACTTCAATTAACCAATAAATACGAAAGAGGAAACCGCATGCAGCTGACAGATCGTTGCTGCCATCTTGAACAACACAAGTTAAGGCATTTAAATTGTCCTGACACTGCTGTACCTGGTGCAACACTGATCACAAAAAAAACCGACTACTTCACCAAAGCGTACAGTAAGAAGTTGTTTGTCTGATAATAGCATCATCTACTCTTGCTCACCAGCAGCCAGTCTCTCAGAGTTCGGTACGCTTTTCACATATGGCTTGATTTCTTGCTTTTCCTCCTAACGACAGAAAAACAAACCAGCGCGGCTAAATTAGTGCACTCTAATCCGCCTTAGTGTTTCATAAATGAAAGATGAGACGACGCTCTCATGTAACAGCTCAATGATCTATAGGTTTCTGTGCGTAATCTTAAGTGTTCTTGATTCGTCCCTAGTGCTTCATGAGGATCACCAGGATCTTCTTACAAAAACATTTTGCTGCAAATACAAATCATTTCAAATTGACTGTATAATTAGCAATTAACATAAAAAAAAAGAGAAACTAATCTTTATGTGACGGGTAACGTTACAGTACATAGTCTAGATATACCTAATGGGATGTGGACACTAGGATGGGGTTCACAACACAGTGGATTAAGGGTATCAAAAAACGAGTCACTCGGGAAGTATGAAATTCTGTACAACCCCAAGATTGCATATGTCGTCATCTCTTCCGTACTCTTCATGTCTCTCTTCTAGCCTTCTTCTTTTTGACCGGTGGTTTCGGGGACTCGTCTGTTTTTTCTGGTGGGGGAAGAGATAGTGTTTAGCAAACCTTTAAAGAGGTAAAACTCTTTACATTCGATTATCATGAAAACAAATTTCAGAGAACGGTCGTCTAGGTGCCAGTGTGTTATTCATTTTGCGCCGCAGTTCTCCTTTAAACGCTTTTATATGGCGGTTGAACGTACTTTGTGTTGGTACAGGAGTGGATTTGTCAGTCGGCTCGGGTCCACTCGTTCTCTGTTGCGTTTGTACTGGAGCTGACGGTGGCTGTGGAGATGACGACAACTTTAGGAACTACTTTTTGTTGCCAATAGCCAGATGAATGTTGAAAAACAGAGTTCTCACCCCTGCTGTGGCAGCTGAGACGTATCCCGTCATGCTCTGTGTCGGTGTCGCAACACTCGTGTCTCTCTCGGCCTTCATCTGCGACTGAATGAGATACAGATTTTCTGCATTAGGTTTAAAGAAACAGTTCAGTCCTTTGTGAATAATATCTGGAAATATCCTCACCGGAGCAGAAAGTCCAGCATCTTCCACTTTCTTCTTCTTCTTTTTCTTCTTCTTAGCTTTAACGCTACCAGGGGCGCCTGCTTCGTCTTTATCTTTCTCGTCATCAGACTCCTTTAGAACGAAGAGAAATAAAAAAAAAATTAGGCAGTTTTCGCCTGGCTTCAACTTCTTGGTTATAGGGAGGCGAATTGTCTGGATTAACTTCAATTTTTATTCTATTAACCATACTATTTGAACAATGTCTTTTCAAAGTACCATTTATTATAAAAAAAAACTGGGCAACTCTTTACAATAAAGTCCCATTAGTTCATTTTAGCGATACATTTGTTAGGTTCATTAGTTAAAATGAATGAACAATATTTCAGCATTTATTAATTTTAGTAAATATTAATTTTAATATTTACAAATACGGTAAAATTAGTTAATGCATTGTGAAATAACATGAACAAACAATGAACAGCTGTATTTTTTAACTAATATTAATAAATACTATAAGAAATGTATTGCTCGCTGTTAGATCATGTTAATTAATGAACCTTATTTTAAAGTGTTACCTAGTATTTACAAAATTTTTTTTTTAAAACTGTTCCTTGTTCAAGTCCATCTAATTTTTTTAAATAGATACAACTCTAGATTTTAATAATATATTAGTAAATGCTGAAATCGAAATGCTTTAGAAGTATTTTACATCGTTGAAAAATACCGTGGAAACAAAGACACCTACATCTTGGATGCCCTTGAGGTAAGCTAAAACATATCAAAAAATAATTTCAAAGTGCACTATCCCTTTATTTACTACTTTATTGTAAAGCATTACTCAACTGTTTATCTTAAATGCATTTAATTGAAGTCGAATTATAGAGATTGATTTGAGAGTCATTTTGACTGATCATTAAAAGTACTGACTCATAAGAGTCGTTTGTTCTTGAATGGGACTACACAAGTAACCCCAAGGATTCCCTATTTTTTGTGTCAATTTTGATCTAAAATATTTTCTATTACCCCCTCAGATTTCAATTTAATATTTCAACCCATTTGCAAGTCCTTTGATATGGGTTTATGGTCACATGACATGCAGGTAAACAAATACAATATTTTTAAATAGGTTTTATTTTTTATTATTATTTATTTTAGTTTGACATTTTTTTTGTGATATAATCATTAGCCTTATCAAGTCACAATCCCCCCGCAGTTTGTAATAAAACTGTTTGTTGGTAGTGTGAAAAATGTCTATCAATATCAACTGATATCAATATTTCTAAAATGTAGAAACAGATTCTGATCAGAAACTGATTTTGATTCCTTCTCGTTATTACTTCAGAGAAGTAAAAATTAAGTTTGTTTCCACAGGCCTCAACTGACCTGTGCCACTTCCAGGACTGACCTGTGCCACTTCTGGGACTGACGGCTCCGGCTGTATTGTGCTCACGGGCTGTTGCTCAACATAGTTCCCCCACTCCTCTGACGGAGCGTTCCAATCACACGACGGATCTGCAGATGTGCTTTCTATACACAACAGCAATTCTTAGTAAGTCTGTGACTGTATATGTGAATGAAAGCAGGCTCGTGTATAGATTCTTACTTATTCCAGACCACTCGTCATCCACTGGTACAGGAGGCTGAGCACTCCAACTCAGGTCAGGGACTGGAAACAGAGTAAACATGTTTTTATTTTTATTTTTTGGATGTAGTTATTTTTATATGCGACAGATCATGGTGAAACTGGAGATACTGTACATGATTAAGTGGCACAGAGAAACAGCTCCTGGCTGAATGTGAGCAGAGCTACAGTTGAGTTTAGCTACGCATTTATTTTATAAATTTGTAATTACCAGCATTCAATCCACTGAATGAAACAATGGTCCACGAGCCTGTATTAAGAATAAGAAATAAACAAATTAATCTACTTGCATTTTACATTCAATGTATACACAAAGAAGTGTCTTATGCTCACAAAATAATATTGTGAAATATTATTATATATTAAAATATGGGTTTTCTATATTAACATATTTTTTATTCTTGTGATGCAAAGCTGAATTTTCAGCATCATTACTCCAGTCTTCAGTGTCACATGATCCTTCAGAAATCACTCTAAAATGCTGATTTGCTACTTTAAAAACATTTCTTATGATTATTAGGGCTGTCAAACGATTAATCGCATACAAAATAAAAGTTTGTGTTTGCATAATATATGTGGGTGCACTGTGTATAATTATATATATATACATATACACACACACACACAAATGCTTGTATATGTTTAAAAAATATTTTCATGTATACACAGTATATAGATTTCTATTGATATAGCGATTAATCGTTTGACAGCCCTAATTATTATCAATGTTAAACAGTTGTGCTGCTTAATATCTTTGAGGACATTTTTTCTCAATCCTTAAGAATGAGGATTCATTCTTGAATGGAAATTTCAATAGCATTTTTTTAAAATAGAATTGTTTTGTAACATTTTAAATGTTTTTACTATCTTTTTTTATTAGTATTAAGGAAATAATTAATGTATTCATAATCCTCACTGAATAATACATAAAGTAATACATTTCATTGACTGAGTTAATAGAGAAGACATTAGGATAGAATAAATGTGAATGACAAGTTTCACGTCCAATTCACACCAAGGCTCAACCAGCCCATCGTTTCATAAGATACATACAATAAGTGATATAATAAGACAAAACATGCCTTTCTCATGAAGAAATTGTGATTCCTGAAACTTTTTTTCTCAGTACCTTCCATATCTTGGGACCAGACAGAGGGTTCACTAGTCTGACGCTCAGTGGGGACAGTCATACTGGTCCAGCTCTCAGCCCGAACACTAGCCATCTGAGGAGGACGCTGCAGGCCCACATCACTCACGCCAGAACCATTAACAGCCAGCCCTTCCTCCCAGCATGATGTCACTAACATGATCAATATGAGCATAAACAAATAAGTCTATCTAGATTTCACATTATAATCTGTTAACATTTGATTTATTACCTTGAGGAACGACAGCGTCTTGTACAAAACTTGCTTCAACTTCAGGTGGGTCCACTTCTTCTCTTTGTACTGGAGGTGTAGAAACCGTGGTGGTGATGTTGGTTTCTTGTTCTTCTGGGGTGGTTTGGACCGGCTCGATTGTATTAATGGCAGTCAGAGCTGCTGTTGCTTCTGGGCTGCCTGACCCATCACCTGAAGTCTTGTCCTTCCTCTTCAGTTGTCGTTTCTCACGGTTACTGACCTTGGTCTCCCAGGTACCTGAGAGATACAATTACAAAGACAAACATGTTTCGATCACTTTGCAAATAAAATTCAATCCACAAGAATCTATTAAGCAAATAACTTCTGTGAACTATTATTTTTGTGTGTGTGTGTGTGTGTGTGTATATATATATATATATATGTAAGCAATATGGTACGAGAGGCTGTGCTGTATTAGTAACGACCATTACTTACTAACAATACAGCACTTGCCTCGAGAACCTTATTGCTTTTATGCTTTCACACTACACACACATACGATATATCGTTTCACAGCCCTTCAACTGCAGTGTTGCGCAGTGATAAATAGAGCCGTTGGGTGAAGCGGTCATAGCCGTGTTTTATCATGAATAAAGCACAGCTATTTACCTATATATATAGATTTGACAGCAGATAAAATACTGCATGTAGGGTTACAAATAAAAATACACATAATTTGCCATTTATCTATCTAAAAAATCTCTTTATTTTGTACAACCCTTTGTACTAATTCTGTGTACTTAATATGAAGAAGTATGATCTTCATATTAATCAAAATATACCTTCATCAGGTTCTTTGCCGTCAACGGATACAGAAGATTTTTTCTCTTTTGCAGTAGGCTTTGGCTTTTTCTTATTCTTCTTTGCCTAAAACCATCAGGAACATCAACATAAATAAATGACAGTATTTTAATTTTTGTCTCTTTAAACCTAAATGTCCAAGTGAATGCCAGAATGAACATCATTATGACCTTGTCAGTCTTCACTTCTGGCAGTTCTTGATCGTCCAGCACTTTGGCATCTTCCTGTGGCTCAACAGCAAGTCCATTTCTCTGGGCCTTCTGTCAAACATTCATTTTAAAAATAAAAGACAATAATACATGTAAAGGTTACTACTGATATTTGAAGTGTGGGTATTTTATTCAAATTATGCCATTCGACAGCTGTTTTTAATAGAATTTGGATGCTTGAAAGTCAGTTAGTGGTGTTTTAATCGTGAACGACTCAGTATTTCAAATGAATCGTTTGAGTAGAACACAAAAACACTCGCTAGTCTCCACCAGTAGGCGCAACCTGCACTAAACGAATCTGAAAGAATCGATTCAAAAGAAACGAGTCATTAACCCAGCCTCTAAAACGAAGCAAACCTTTTCAGCATTCTTCTTTCTGTTCCTTCTCTTGGGCTCATCTGCCTTCTTCACCGGCTGCCCTGGCTCGGTGTTTTCGGCGGTGTCTCCTGTCTCAGTCCCAGTAAGGCTTTTAAAGAAACCACGACAGACCGAGACCCATAAAATGACCAAGAAAACCAGTCCGACCCAAGCTGTTAAAAGGAGCAGCCATGGAGCGCACAGATCAGGATTCAAGCCCAAGTCTATTCCCAGCTCAGACTTCAGATAGACGAGGCCGGTCGACAGGGTTTCTCTGACATATCCCGTTATCTGCTCCACATGCTGTGACGCGATCTCTTGCCAGCCCGGTGCCATTGCAATCTATTGTGCGGGCACCGGCGTGCAATCATTCACAAAATCAATACTTTGAGACAATTACACGGGAATAAACGTTGCTTTGCCAGCGTGCCACCGATTACTGTTCTGCTATTGCTGCTTCTTTTCAATGAAGGTGCATGAACTGACTTACAGACAAGCTCCCCTTGTTGGGCTGGAGTGCAATTGAGTGTACTTGCTGTGTTTTCCAAAGCTATGTGTACCTCAGTGCAGGGTTTTACAAACTTTTTTTTACCCCAGGGCCCCCAAAATGTGGTGTATTGTTAGTTGGAACCCCCTTCTAGAATGCAATCTAATATTTGTCTTGCGAATAATTTGCGTTATAAAAGCAAATACGTGTCTGGTTTGCGCAGCTGCAGCTCACGAGGAAAGCGACAGGGGGCGCTTGTGGTTTCAGGCTGGCGCGCGAGCCGCACGCAGAGGAAGAAGTAGAATAACGGTTGAAAAAAGAGTCGCGAGTTTCAGTGGCTCCATGGTCGGCGGGTATTTGAAGCTCGAGGCCGCTTTTAGTTTGACTGCTTTGTGTACTCGTTGTTGACATTAGCATCCCATGAGCGTGTCTCATGTGATGAAGCTTATTATTGTCCCTCTGGGCTGTGTTCGCGTCTTGGTTATAACTTTAGCGAAGACCCTTTCAGCCCGTGAGTTAAAAAGGTACGTGGAGTTGTTTACTTTTTACCGGCCTTTTAAACTCTTTACGTTAGCTAACTTGGTTATCTGTGCGATGTGTTAATGTGTTTGTGTGAAGTAGCAACATATGGAGAGGTGGTTTTCAGGGTTATTAAAAACATTTAAATGAGTTTAATGCCATAATAATCTGGGATTCTTGATAACATTTAACAAAGTTATCTTTTGACTTGTTAAGCTCTAGGGATAGCTTCTGTAAATTAAGAAATGAAGGCACATGTATCTTAAAAAAATATAATATAAAATATAACGTAGTGAACTTTGACAATTATTCCAGGTCCAAGCTTTGAAAAATATTTTCTGCTTTGTTTTGCAAAAGATATATTGTTAAAGAGTTCATCAACGAATAATTGTGCGAACTTTTAAAATATATAAACAATAGTAGTTCTGGGAAACCACTGCTAAAAACTATATAAAACATGACATTATAATTATATTTTAATAATAATATTACACAGCGAAATTATTTACTTTGTTTTCAGATTTGATGTGTTCCCTGCCCCCCAAAACTTTTTTAACGTGTGTTTGACAGTGTTTTTTGTCTCTGAATTCACAAATGTATCTGGTCCACAGGTGACTGCCACAGGAATGACCACTTCACAGAAATACCAGAACCCCAAAATCACAGGTACAGATCTAGGGATGAACTTGAAGGGATAGTTCACCCAAAAATGAAAATTCTGTCATTAACTACTCGCCCTCATGTCGTTCCAAACCTGTAAGACTTTCATTCATCTTCGAAACACAAATGAAGATCTTTTTGATGAAATTTGAGAGCTTTCTGTCCATCCATTGACGGCTACACAACTACTATTTTGACTCTTTAAAAAGTTCATAAATGGGTCGCAAAACAAATCCATTAAGCTGTTTTGTCCAAAATTTCGGAAGAGATACATTCGCTTTATATGATGAACAGATCGAATTTAGGCTTTTATTCACATATAAACATTCATCACTCATGCGAGAACCAATGAGGTTCATTCTCGTGTTACGCAGCACGTTTGAGCTTCTGCAAGAACCAATGAGGTTTCTCGTTGCTTCAAGCAGGTTCGGTTGAGCTTCTGTTAATGTTCGATGATCAGTGTTTAAATGTGAATAAAAGCCTAAATTAAATCTGTTCATCATATAAAGCAATCATGTCTCTTCAGAAAATTTTGACTAACTTGTTGAAGTGTCAATGTTTCAGTTACAGTACGTAGCTGCCCATAGAGGGACAGAAATCTCTCCGATTTCATTGGAAAATATAATTTGTGTTCTGAAGATGAACAAAAGTCTTATAGGTTTGGAACAGTAATTAATGACAGAATTTTAATTTTTGGGTGAACTATCATTTCATGTTATGTCATGTACCTCATAATAACCATATTAGTCACAATAGATTGTCACATAGTGTGGTTATTTTCTGCTCCAGCAGGACACTCTGACACAGAGTGGCTGACACCTGCCGTGTCCGAGAAGTTTCAGAGCCGTTTTGGATGGCGGCCCAGCACAACGGACAGTGGGGACGCGGGACTGGGTACCTCTGACCACACTGAAGGTGAGAACTCTGCTGGTGTTCAGATATTGTCATGTTCATTGTGTAATAGACCCGAGTTCACATGTGCAAGTCCTCATCAGCCCCTTCATTTTAACATTAGTGAAATAATTGGAAAAAAAATAACATTTGATTTCCAGGACAATGCTTGCGTACCCATGTACAAGAATAGAAGTTTTGTCACCTTAAGAATTAATATATCAATCTTCAGTTCAGACATCATGGATCTAATTGAATTAATTAGTGACTTTAAAAAAAAAATCCACCAAACAATCATTGGTTTTAAAGAGAACCGTTTTTAATTTACAACATACATTAGCATCCTGCTGGCTGTTTTAAGACTACGCTGTAATATTCTTAGTCATGGAGATGTGCTCAGAGTTCTGGAACTCCTGTGAGGTTTGGAGGAGGATATGATATTCCATACCATAGATTCCTCCAGGCGGTGTTGCACTTCCACTGATGGGGGTCTCATTAGGAGGGCCTGACCTGGAGGGCCGAATGGAAACTCTGATCCTGGTCTTGTTTTTTTTCTCTCTGCCTTGTTAAAAGATTAGCTGTCCTGAAGAGCTGGTGTTTGTCGATTACCACAGATCTGTACTGAATGTTCAGTGCGTTTAAAAACATTTCTGTGTTAATGTATAGCTTATGTTTACAATATTGTGATAGTGTTGTTTGGTGTGATTGTTTTTTTTAAGTGATTGACTCTTATTGGCGGAACCATGCCCGATTAACAGAAGATTTTTTACCCTTTTATGCGATTTCCAAAATATAATGATGACAATGTGTTTAGTAATATTGTTAAATTAAAGGAGTAGTTTACTTTAAAAAAACTTTTGCTGATAATTTACTCATCCCCAAGTCATCCTAGATGTACATGTCTTTCTTTCTTCAGTCGAAAAGAAATGAAGGTTTTTGATGAAAACATTCCAGGATTTTTCTCCATATAATGGACTTCAATGGGAACCAAACGGTTCAAGGTCCAAAAGACAGTTTCAGTGCAAATTGTTCAAAGGGCTTTAAACGATTCCAGACAATGAATAAGGGTCTTATCAAGCGAAACGATCGCTCATTTAAAAAAAAAAAAAAACAAAGTTTAAGTTTTATAAGCTCAAATTATAAATTATTCTGTGATGGGCGTTCGTGACTCTCCTGTTCGAACGAATGTTTTTTTGTGTCATTTGGTTCATTCAACGAACGAAATGAACGAATTGACTCGGAAAAAGATTCATTCCTTTTGGATGAGATGGGGTGAGTAAATTATCAGCAAAAGTTTTTATTTAAAAAGTGAACTACTCCTTTAAGATTCATTTGTGAAACGTTTATATTCAAGATGTTGATGAATAGAAAGTTCAAAAGAACAGCATTTATTTAAAATATATATTTTTTTGTAACCTTGTAAAAGTCTGTACATTAAGTAGTTCAATGTCATGCAGCCTTGCTGAATAAAATATTAATTTAAAAATAAAGTTTTAGTGCATCAGTCTGAATCACAAAGTTTTTATCATAAATAACTGAAAAGGTTGCCCAATTAGATGCTGTTTTTATCTGACCAGCCTGTTATTTAGATATTGATCTCAACTTGTTAAAAGAATATATCTGACTTTTTTTTGTTTTCATTTTCCTGAAACAAATCTAAGATAGTTCCCATAGTAACAGTAATGATTAACTGCTCAATCTAATGAGTTTTCATACATACAATTGTGGCACCTAGCAACCAAGCATAACGTATTCGGACATTGCTTGTAATAAGACGGCTTTTCTTCGTTTTTAAAGCGACCAAAACGGTGGCGGCACAAAACTTCTTGGCAGCCGTTTCACTTTAGAGGTTCTAAATATATGGTTGAACGTCTGTGGGCTTCTGTGTTGCAATGGTGACGGCTTTGTTTTGCTCTGGGTGTTTCTTGTAATGACAAAAAGCCTCTAAAAATCTTTCGTCAAGCCAAAGAATTGTTTAAACCTGTCCACAGCAGGTGTTTAAAAGAGACACCCTCAGGACAGACACTCCTACTGCTGCCTGCCTCTTCACATCTCCACTTGATTTGTGTGTGTTCATTTAATTGTTGTATTGAGGAACTTGTTTAAATGCACTTCAGAAGTATTACAGTATTAAGGCATTATTAGGCATGTATGAGTGTGAGGTGAGCTGTATGGTTAAAGCAGGAGGCCCACACATAGACACCTCACAGCGTAACATGAGAGTGCTCTATAAATACCGCTAACCTTTCTGTGTGTATGCTCTCCTGAACTAACACGGTTGTAGGAGAGAGAACAAACTCTCAAAGCAGGTACTCACCTTGCCTGAGCTTGACTTTCATATTTTGATTTTGAAGGACGAGTTCTGGCAGACAGAGTGGGCGTGTTTTAAGATCAGTAGTTTGTCTAAATCACTTGCTGAAGATGCACTTGGAGGAGTGTTTTTGTATGCCTTACTGTCCTTCAGTGTATGAAAATGTTATCATGTTTTGGTATCGCTTTTACTGCTAGCAAGGTGAGTACCTTTTTTTTTTTTTTTGCAATGTTTGTTAGATTTCAAAACTAGCTTGCATTAATTTGTTCTTTTTTTGCCAAAATAGAAAGATTGGCTAATTTAGCAACATCCTTTTTTCTGTTATATAATGTCTATATAATTTTTTAATGATTTAAATATGGGGCAAATGGAAGAACTGTCTTTTATTTTCTAATATTTTTTTATTTACTATTTTACTTTTATTGATTTTTGACTTTTACATTCATTTTGCCATGGTATGATATACAGCTCGAATATTACTGACTTTAAGTAATAGGCTTTCTCCAATTTAATGTGTGAAACAATGTTTATCAGTGAATAACAAACAGTTATTTAGAAAATATGCCATTACTGTACTGTAGAATCGTAGACATTTGGTTAAATATTAACTTTAACTCTCTGGTGCTCTTCTGTAGGTTTTAATTAATTAATTTATTGATTACTTAACTAGGTTTTGGCACTTGCTATGTGAACACAAATTAAATGTATGGACATAATTTGAAAAGGTTAAATAGTCATGAAAAATAGTCACGCATATTTCCTCACAGTCCAAAACGAGCACATTGGAGATGACTGGTGGAAATGTTTGGTACTGCACCTAAACAAAATCTTACTGAAAGCAGTTTTAGAGTAAATTAGGTTTTGAAAAATGTATATTTCATATAAAAATGTAAAATAGGTTTTTTTTTTCATTATAATAAACTAGCTTTTTTTTTTTTTTTTTTTTTTTTCAGCAATCTGCCAAGTGTCGTCTTTAAAAAGAGACCAACCTTAAACTGTAATAAATCTTGAGTGCTTTGGAACACAGACTTAAGTTGGAAAGTTCATTTTCAGGCCAATGCTCCAAAAGTGAATGGATTATAACTACTGCATAGATCAAATTTGGTGCCATAAATTCCCATAAAATAGAAAATATGAAATAAAAAAAATTATCAAATTAAAATTTATTTATTTGGTTTCATTTATGCCTCACTCCATTTTCTGTTCTAGATATCTGCAGCACTAGCAGCAGTCCATCCTTCCAGCCCATCCGCAGTCAGATCCCCATCCCCACCGCCCATGTCATGCCTTCCACGGCCGGAACTCTGGCTTCTAAGATCAAGCCACATGTTTCTGAAGAAACCCGGGCGTCCTCCAGCTCTTCCAGCTCTAAGTCATCCCTCCCCAAATCGGCATCCTCCCCCAACCTGGAAGCTCAGCACGATGGAAATTTAGAGTTGAATGCGGTCAAGCCTGATTGCCTAAGCCGCTATCTCAGCCTAGTAAACGGACTCGACCACTCGCTCTTCCCCTCTGGAGATCAGACGCGACTAGATGAAGCCCAGAAGTTTGATATGCCTGCCATGGAGCCAACTCTTAATCAGTCAGCTCTGCTTGGGGGCCTTTGCCCTGATGTACGGCAGCAGCTGCAATTGACTGGGCTTGGGGACAATACAGGCTTGCTGGAACAGACATTTAAAGTCCTACCAGAGGCTAGGGCAGGTCTCGCTTGTCCTGTAGACCCATACAGCCAAAGGAACATTCATCCAGGATCAGGTGCCTCTGGCAGGATGTTCTCCATACCTCAGGGCCTGCAGACTCATGCTTTCCTGAGGGACCAGTCCAACACAGGAGCTTATGATCCAATCCTGCAGGAACGCTGTTGTGAGCTGGCCAGCTGGCAGCAGCAGAAGCAGAAACTGGAGAGTCTGCGGCTACAGGTGGAACAAATGCAGGTATGAATTCAGCTTGTGACTTGCTGCATACATGAAAGGAAAAGGGAACAGTTATGAAATCATGAATCATCTATTTAAAGTCAGCAAGGAATGCACTCTGTTTAATTTAACACGTGATTTGAGTCTTATTGTGAATTAATTCTTCAGTGCATGCGGTTACAAAAATAGACAGTGTTTGACTTTGTTTGTTATCAAGTGTTATTTTAAAAGCCTATTAATTTTGAATCGGCTATTATTTATAGATTTTTTGTTTTAGTAAATTTAGTATGTGCTTTTGCCATTTTTATTAGTTTTTGTTTTAAATGTTTCTATTTAGCTTTTATTTTTATTTCTAGTTATTTTAGTTAAGTGTTTTAATAGTTTTTTTTGTTCGTAAACAAACACAATACAAAATGTAATGCTTTGCCTCTAAAACAACTTTTACGTAGGCCATGCAGCCAGGAAAAATGTAAATCAATTGCAATTTAGCCTAACAACTAATAACTTGATTTAAAATTAGTGTGCTGAGACCGGTATCAGATTGTTTAGAACAATACCTGAGAGTTTGGTGGGGTTTTTTTTTCTACTGTCTTGGTTTTGAATAATTTATGATCATAATTATCTATAGCATTTTTGTTTCTTTAGCTAACAAGATAGCTTGGTTTATAAACCGTTTCTCAATATTGAATTACAGCAGAGATTAAAAATACAGTGCTGTTAATATTTTCGACAGTAATAAACTACACATTTGATTCTATACATCTAAAATTCAAACTATTATTGACAAACATTGAAACCAAGAGTGCCACATATTATTATGTGTATGAACTGCTTTCACGCTTTAAATTGCAACTCTGCTGTCAACTTCGTGCCAGAGACATTTTCTTCACTGCATTTTCAGTTTTTTTAATAGTCCAACAAATTTTTCCACCTTCTTTTGATTGACAGGAAGTTTTGTCTTACATTTTTCTTTTTGTTTAATATTCAGTGTCATTTTTGGATGCATCATACTAGTAACTATAGTATGTTAACTTTAAAGTGTTCTAGGGCTTACACAGTGTTATTATGCCTGTTTTAAATAAGAGTTCCTGCTTCACCTACTATTTTATATTTTTATTTATATTTCTTGCAGTTAATGACTGGAGGAAGTGGACAGTATACATCTCTGTATCCAGGAACTCCTCACACGGAGAGCAGCAAGTGGGATGCTATCATTAAAGCCAACGAGAACTTGCTGAAAGAGAAAGAACTTACCATTGAAAGGTTATATGACAGTTTCTTGTGTCCTACAAAGATTGTGAACATTAAACTTATGCTAAACTTAGTAACTTGTGCATTGCAGGCAGAAGCAGCAAATGTCTCAGCTGGAACAGCGTCTCAGAGAGAGTGAGCTGCAGGTGCACAGTGCCCTCATGGGACGTGGAGCCCCTTACACCGATGTGTGTCTGTTGAGACTACAGGTTAGCACACATGCATGCATATAGCCTTTTCCTCTCTCTATATCAATACATCTCAGTAAATCGTCTGTCTTCTTTCTGTGTGTGTGATAGGAAGCCCAGCGGGAAAATGCCTTTTTGCGAGCCCAGTTTGCAGAGCGCAACGACTGCTTTACTAAGGAGAAGCTAGAAGCAGACCGGAGACTGGGTGCAGTGGAAGCAGAAACGCAACGTCTGAACGAGGCCTCGAAAGAGAGCAGTGAAAAACATGCTGAGGAGTTAAAGAAACAAGAGGAGAGGGTAAGCATATCCAAGATTCATCATGTGGCCTACCACATATGACCCTGAATCTCATTCAACTCATGCTTGATTTTACATCATGTTGTCGCTCTTTACAACACAGATCCGCAGTCGGGACAAGCACATCAACAGCTTGAAAAAGAAGTGCCAGAAGGAGTCGGAGCAGAACAGAGAAAAACAGCAGAGGATTGAGACGCTCGAGCGATATCTGGCTGACCTCCCGACCATGGAAGACTACCAGGCCCAGCACAAAAAGGTACTGCTCTCTCTGATGGTCAGCCAGCCAAACAAAGCCTTTTTTCCCCCTGTGGTCTCAGAACTCAAAATGCTCAGCTTGAGATTCTTCTCTTGTGTTTTATTGCCAGACACCATTATAGTATCCACTGCACCCATATATCACACATCTGGTCCTATTGTATTCTTTATCTTTAAATAACATACTCCTTACCCTGCTGGCTCACAAAATCCCTGCCCCAGCCCACACTGCTTTTTCTTCAAGTCATTGTTTTTGATTGTGCTTTGGTTGCTAAAGTATTTTTTTTTTAAATCTCAAATGCACCAAAACATCTTAGGTTAAATCATTTACAGAAAATAAAATCTGTTTGTCTATGCCTTTTAAATATTTTTATTAACGAGTGTTATAACTAATAACTAACTATAACTAATAATGATTTTTAGCTGATTATACCCTGTTCACACCCTACCTGTATACCATGTTGTTCACAAACGATTGTCACTGAAGACTGGAAATTCAACTTTGCCATCACAGGAATAATGAGATTTTACATAGAAAAATGTTATTCTAAATTGCAATATTTCACATTACTTAGGTTTTTTATTTTTCTGTATTTTTGATCAAATGTGATGCGATCTGGGAAAACCCACCACATGGTGAAATTTGACACAGGTTTTGAGGCCATATTAAAGCTGGGTTCAAGGCCTTTCCAAATCTGTTTTTATTTCTTTTATCGTTTGTTTGTAACAAAAGTTATGGTTATCTGAAGTCAGCTGATCGCTATGATTTTTCAGAAATGTAATTTTGAGGAAAACGGGTTTAATTAACTGTCACGTCCTGCTAGCGGGACAACTGGCGCTCTTTTTTTTTTTTTTATTGCTTTTTTTTTTCCATATCACATATTTTAGTAATCATCATAGATTAGGTATCATTCAAAAGCTTATGAACTCAAAATTCAACCTGTGAAAACCGTTTTGAAATTGGACAATTGAGAGGCGAGCAAGGATTTTTATATGAGCAGCTTCAAACTCTGTTGTTCTCTTGCGCTCCACATGACACCACACGATAACGCTGGAAAAAAATAAATAAATAAAAACTTGCGGGCTGTTGTAGTACACCCAGGACTGGACTTTATTCTGTTATGTGGTTTATTTTGATAGGCGAAACTGTCTAAACGGGAGATATTGTTTTTTGCCCCTCCGCTCCACCTGCGTGTTCTTAAAGAGAAACACAGTCTTTTCAGGTGCACATTATAAATCGCTATTTTTCTGCAGTAAACTAGTGAATTTTCCCAAGATATATTCAGAGATGATGAACAAGATGTTATAGAATAATAATTTAATAAAAACCCAATTTTGACAAAAAAACTGACATTCAATCTATATTTAGACTTTACTGAAAGTTTTTCCCAGATCGCATCACAAATAAATGCAGCATAAGTGAGCATAAGAGGGTACTTTCATTAAAAAACTAAACATTAAAAATTCATACAGACCCCAAACGTTTGAATGGTAGTGTATTTATGTTGTATATTAATTATATTGCTCATTTATCACCCGAGTCTTTAGTTATTTTTATTGGCATCGGCTATTGAAAGACCCATATCGTTTGACCTCTATTTTGAGCAACTGTTATTCTCAGTTGGTTAGTGCAGTTATGAATGTTGTGTTGCAGCTAGAGGAGGTAGAAGAGAGGGCAGCTCAGTTGCAGGCCACTGTCAGAGATCTAGAAGTCCAACTGGAGGGGGCCCGCAGTGCTGTGCGCAACAAAGAGACCCAACTGGAAGAGCAGAGATGCAAGGAGATAGAACTACTTGCGACAGTTACCAGGTAGGAAAAACCATGTACAAAAGATGCAATGGATGTCTACTGATGAGGTTTTGGAGCATTGTTATGCTGATGTCTAATAATGTTTGATTTGCTTGTGGTTTTAGTCTCCAGAACAGAGTACAGGAGAGCCTTGAGGATGGAGTGAGGTTGCCCTCTCTTGACATAGAGAAGCTACGAGAAGAAAACGCTACCTTTAAAGAAGAGCAGCAGCGACTCAAAAAGGTTTTTCTTTACATTAGTTTCTTAAAGGACTTGTTAAACAACTGCAGTAACACTTAAACGAGGTTTGATATACTCTGAATCTGGGCTCTGTCTGTTGAGTAATGTGAATTACTCACATTACTCACATTTAGTTAGTAGGAGGTTAGTTCTGTACAAATATATTAATTTAGTATCTTGATTCATTTTTCCTTTTAGGTCATTGAAAAACAACTCCGGATAATGGAGCAGCTGGGATCAAAGATCAGGGTAAAGTTTTATTTTGTTTAACAGGTGCATAATTGGTACTGCTGCTTATTACTGGTTCAAGAAACGCTGTTCGGAGCGTTTTATTACAGCATTTTGTCTGCATACACTTTTTACACATTTAAAACTTTGGGGTTGGTACTAGGATTTTTTTATTTTTTTTTTATTTTTTTTTTTGAAAAGTCTCTTTTGCTCACCCTGCTTCACTTAATTGATAAAAAACAATACGGTTAAAAAGTAATATTGTAAAATATTATCACACTTCAAAATAAGTGTTTTCTATTTTGATATATTTTAAAATGTAATTTATTCCTTTCTGAATTTGGGCCATTACTCCTGTCTTCAGTGTCACATGATCCTTCAGAAATCATTCTAATATGCTAATTCGGTGCTCAAGAAGCATTTCTTATCAATTTTGAATGTTGTGCATTTATTTTAAATCGAATGCTTTTGTAACATTGTCTTTCATTGTCGCTTTTGATCAATTCAATGTATCCATGGTCAATAAAAGTATTGATTTCTTAAAAAAAAAAACTTGCTGACCCCAAACCTTTGAAATGGTAGTACAGGTGGAAAAATGATATTCAAGAACCATTAAAGGAAACTACCGTCTTTCTGTTCCAGTATTAAAAAAATGGAACTGGTTCTGAATAAGAATTGGTCTTGAATTTCAGCTTGAAGACTGTAATTAGCTGTAATTCAAGTAAATCCCCATCACTAAGAGCCAGGCATCATATTCTATTATTAATTCCTCAGAAATGTACTTACAATAGTAACTATGAGGTGAGGAATCTTTAAGTCTAAAGTCTATATATTTGACACTTTTAGAGCATTTTCTAACCCATGTCCACAGACAATGTTAGTCAATATTAGTTTATGTTAGCCAAATTTTTAGTTTACAACCTTAATATGTGTGTGTGTTGACTTAGACTCTGGAGGAGCAGCTCTCTCAGGAGGACTGCAGTAGTCAGGCCCTGCGAGAGGAGGTGTCAGAGAAAGAGGAGAGTCTGCTGCAGTTACGCACTGCTATGAAGGAGGTTAGTTGATCATAATGCATATTCAGCTCTTTGCTTTGTGTTTTCACAGCACACATGAGAATTGAGGTCCGCATGTGTTTGTATTTCAGCTTTCAGTGCAGAACCAGGAGCTGATGGAACATAATCTGACACTGCAAGAGCGTCTTCAGGGTGAAGAGCCGCAGAGTGGCCGTGGTTTGCTCCCCGTGGGAGCCCGGCTCACCCAGAGGCTTTATGGAGAGATGGCCGCCTGTCTGTGTGACCTCCGCTCCCTCTGCAACGTCCTCACCCAGCGGGCTCAGGGCCACGACCCAAACCTCTCCATGCTGCTCGGCATTGCATGTAAGTGCGCCCTCTGCTGTATTCATGCTATAGAGAAGACTAGGAATCCATCAGATAATGCCTAATTATAATTGACTTAATTTTTAGGAATAATCCATTTTTATATCTCTATATTTACTTTGCAATGGCTTATGAATTTTTTCTTTTTTCTTTTCAATAATCTATTTTCAATTCAACAAAACAGCCATTATGGTTCATGTTAAAGCTACAAAATGTAACATTTATCCCTCTAGCGGTTAAAAATAAAACTGCATGTGCCTTGCAGAACAACATCCTTTTGCTTTTGCTCTGTCTGCTCCTCTGTGCGGATGAATGTGGACAGTTTACAGGACATTTTATAAGAGTAGATGGGCAAATAAAAAACGATTTTTTTGTTTATACAGCTGGCAATTCCCAGAGGCTTGCCGTTTTTAAATGATTTATGGTCCATTTTTTTTTAGTTTGTCAAACATTCAGCTTTACACTACTAGCACACCATAAAAGCACCACAGTAGCTCAAGCTAGCTACTTTGAATGGAAATGATGTGATGCATGTCGGAATGACAGATGCATGCAAATCTGAGTGAAATCCATCCTGACAGCTCGAAAATATAAATCATTTTTATAGGCTTATCAAGTATTACCAAGTGTAATTGGGTGAAGAAGTTTAATAGTGTGGCTTTAAAGATTGAAATGTTTAATGCAAGAGTTAAAGAGGTGGTATAATGCCGTTTTCACAAGACGTAAAATAAATCGCCAGAGTTTGTAAAGTTTTAGCTCAAAATACCCAACAGATATTTTAATATGGCATGTTAAAATTCTCACTTTTTGAGGGTGAGCAAAAAATGTAAATGAGCTGCTGCTCCTGGCACGGAGGGCGGAGCTTCAACAGCTTCCTCTCACACAGACATGCACTGAAAAATTCAAAAACTTTTAGCCTTTTATTCAAACATACATTTCTGAATGGTTAGTTGATGAATTTATGTAGTTTATGTGTAGTTATTTTCTAGTCATTGATTAGCATATTCTGTCTTGATAATGTATAAATCGTGATCCAGGGGTGGGGTCTATGTAAATTTTAGGGTTAGTGATGTCACTGATCTGGGAGGAATGTTCTTTTTAGTCCTTACCAGCCGTTTGTTTTAGTCCATAAAAAGTGATTTCTTTTAAAGAGAATATCTCCATATGCTTTGAGCATAAACAACATCTGCAAAGTTACAACGCTCAGCTCAATCAACATTACATACTAACTAATGTTTATAAAGGGAAATCATAATCATCCACCCCTTTTAAAACGGTAAAAATCTAAATAATCAAGGCATTAAAAGAATTTATTGAAAAAAAAATCAAATTATTATTAGTTTAGTTGAAAAGTTTTAGTTGAAAAGTTGAAATTTTCATTTATTTTTTAGTTACTGTTTACTATTTTCTATTTAATTTTTTTTTTATAGAATTTATATGCTGTTTAATTTTTTATATATGCTATACATGATACAGAAATAAACACATTTTCACTAGAACATTTTAATATATTACAAATTACATCCAGACACCAATGAATATTCAATATGGTAGTTGGAAAAAGACACTTAGAGCAGAAATGAATCAAAATTATCAACACACTCATACAGAGCCATTGCAATTACTTAATATTTCGCTCTTGGCTGCTGTTTTTGTAGTAGTGGTAGTGATTAGGATTAGAACAGTTTTCATCATGCAGTCATGGAGATTCAGCTTTGTTGTGTTATCTCTGTTGTGGCCGTTATCAGCTGTGACTCTGACTCCATGTCTGTGTGTTTGCAGCAGCTCCCCCTCCTGTAGGAGAGCAGTGGGAGGACTGGTTGAGCCCCGAGGGGTTGCAGAAGAAGCTGCTTGAAGCTCAGCAACTCCGTCGAGACGTCGAGGAACTGAGAACCACAGTCTCTGACCACTATGCTCAGGATATGGGAGAAAACTGCATCACTCAGTGAGCTCGGACAGTACGGCTTGTGCTCAATGAGGGTAACTCCACATCACGAGTGCCTTTAAAGACACTACAATCTCTACCTAAACAAATCTTCTTCACGAAGGACTAACAACACTAAGGACGTTGTAATCTCGCAAAACAGAGCGCTATTTTTATACAAAGGTTTCATAAGATATTTTTCTAAGATTCCGATGACTTTGTGTGCCATGGAAAGAGAATGATTTAATATAAACCTTTCCTTGTATTTGGGAATGCCTGTGATGGAGTTGACAAACAACTGAAAATATCTAATCTCTAACCTGTAGTTTCGAGTGACGCTCGGTCGTGTGTAACGACAGGTCCTTAACTAGAATCCGTTATTATCTCACGGTAAACATGCCACATCAAACACTAATCTAAGGCTATGGAAATATTTGGCCACCTCTGGCTGTTTGAGATGATGTGTAAAACATTTGATGGTGTTAAGGTGGTGGAAAAACATTCCCTAATATTATATAACAACCAACATTCAATATGATCAAAGGCAAACCTGCCAGAACCGTTTCAGTGTCTAGATGTACAGAGCATTATGCAGACCAATAAATTGGGACATTTTAAAGCAAGACAGGTTTGCTTATTATTAAATTCTGGTTCTCTGTTAAATAAAAAAGTTATAAAATTCTCTTCCTTAAGATGCATATAAAAATTCCGCAAACAATGTTTAATCAAAACTCTGTTTAAGTTGATCTCTTAAATAATCATTATTTTCAAAGTTGTCCTGAAAACCTCATTGCATTATTAGGTTAATTAACACAGACAAATATATTTTAGAATATATATTTTCTTGGTCATATAGTTTAAATGGGTAACATTTGCCTATGGATGTGTGTTGAGGGGCAGGACCATCTTGCCAGTAAAATAATAGGATGTATGATCTATTTTGCTCTAATCTATATTTACTGTCTGGTTTAGAATTTGTTTAGTCAGCTATAATAACAATAGCCACGCCATTGAATCAATACATCAGAGAAATGAACTGGTGAAGTAAATATTGTATTAATGAATGTCAAACATGGTAACAGGTGCCTTGCGTTCAGTGTCGTAATCTGTATTTACTGAAGTTTTACAGCACAATATACCAATGCAGACAACTATTTCTCTACTGTAATGTGTGACTGGCAAGGAATTAGGATTATTTTACAAAAAGGGACCATAAATTGAGGGCAGTATTGCATGGTAAATAGTCTTTGGTCCAGAAACATCACTAACAAGTGTGAATGTAATTAGATGAGGCAGCAGATGTGTTTTCTGTTATAAGATCTTAATACAAAACCAGCCAGCCAAGCTTTATATGCCAAAAACTTTATAACAACACACTAAATGTCTCTGTTTATATTTTATATATATATATATAAATATTTCTTAATTGTTTCCGTTTTTAGAAATAAAGATTTGTGTTTCATATGTAACATTATGTTGAAATGTTTGTTTCCAGTATGTATAATGATATTCTGTGAATGTGTCCTAATCTTGAGCATCTGAGCAGTGTCATCTATTTTAAAATATTATTGTAATCAAGGTTTAAAGGGTTAGTTCGGTGTTTTACACTTTACATTTAAAGCCCTGTTTTAAAGGGATAGTTCACTGAAATTAATGTTTGTTATGTTTTAGCTTACCTCAAGGGCATCCAAGATGTAGGTGTCTTTGTTTCCACAGTAGTTTCAATTTTGTTATTTTTAGGTCAAACCATTCTTGTCTATCAGCAGAGACTATTTATATAAATAATAAATTACATAAAAAGTTACACATAGTCCCTTTAAAACAGAATAGTAGTAATCTACAAAAAAAAAAAAAAAAAACGGGAGAAGCTCAAACAGCCAAACCCATTAATTAGCTTTATGTTTCAGTGTAACTGACCTCACAAAGACAATTTATAAGTTAAAACATTTACCTGGACATTTATACAAATAGTGCCATATGTTCAACAGTTAAAAGATATACAATAACATGGGAGTTTAACAAACCATAAACCACTTCGACTGCATTTTGTCACATCCTGCTTCATTTACAGATAACAGAAAAATAAAGTTTTCCATTTTATCATAACTTCAAGAGGATAGTTTACCTAAAAATGAAAATTAGCCCATGATTTACCCTCAAGTCATCCTAGGTGTGTGACTTTTTGTTTCAGATGAATATAATCAGAGTTATATTAAATGTCCTGGCTCTTCCAAGCTTTATAATGGCAGCTAGGTTTATATGACATTCTTCTTTCAGACAAATACTTTAGGAGACATACATTTTATATATATGTATATATGTGTGTGTGTCCTGGCTTTTCTAAGCTGTATAATGGCAGAGGACATTTTATTTATATATATATATATATATATATATATATATATATATATATATATACACTCCTAATGTATTTGTCTGAAAGAAGAATGTCATATACACCTAGATGACTTGAGGGTGAGTAAATCATGGGCTAATTTTCATTTTTGGGTGAACTATCCCTTTAAACATTGTCATTTGAGTTGTTTTTTTATTTATAATTTAATCAAATTGATTGATCTATTTTTTTGATGTGTTGGATATTTCATTATTTATTTATCAATTTCTAAAACATTCTTGTCGATGCATGATCAGTGAGTCATGCCAGCAATGCTGTGAAAGTGTGCTAATGATGATGCTTGCTAATGAGTGGTTATAGTTAAACGTTGTTCTGTCTGTGAGATGCAGCTTGTGGACGCAGGAGCAGCGCTGCATTTGGTGTCAGACCACAGGACAGAAGCGTCTGGGTGTCATCACTGTAGCACCGCTGTGGAAATGCGCTAATGATGTCAAAGGGCGCAGCACCCGGTCCTCTGTCGACATAGATTGGCTCAAATTATTGCCAAAAAAAGTATGAAAACTTCTGCAGTAATCCTGCTTCTAATTATAGACTGCAAGCATGCATACATTTTGTGTTGTTGTTGCGTTACAGTATTGAATGGATTACAAGTATTTCTACTGAAGATACAGTGCATTTTGGCACTAAGAATATACAGTATACAATATTCTGTATAAGAATATACAGAATGCTGCCTTAAAGGCATAATACACCCAAAAATTAAAATTGTGATAATTTTCTCACCCTCAAGGTGTTCCAAACCTGTATGCATTTCTTTCTTCTGCTGAACATAAAATATATTTTAAACAATATTGATAACTAAATAGTTAATGGGCCTCATTGACTTCAATTGTATGGGGAAAAAATATTATGGAAGTAAATGCGGTCCCGTCAACTGTTTGATTACCGACATTCTTCAAAATATCATCTTTTGTGTTCAGGAGAAAAAAGAAATTTATACAGGTCTGCAACAACTTTAGGGTGAGAAAATGATGACAGATTTTTCATCTTTGGGTGAACTATGCCTTTAAAATTTGCCCTTAATGTCAACATTAAATGGTCACGGAAGTCGTGATGGTCTTTCATATAATGCCGCATATTCAAGAGAAATGGCTTCTAGAACAAGAACAAATTTAGGGCAAGATTAGATTTTGTCTTTCAGGAATTGATTGGATCGTTAGATAATTGTGGTTTTGTGACAGGTTGTCCCATCCTCATGTCAGTAAACAAGTCATCAGAAAAGATTACGAGGGCACTTGAATTAAAAAGATAATATCTTTATAATAAATAGCAATATTAAATGAAGAAAATAAGAATTGTCAAGTTTAATTTCAATGTAACGTTAATTAAAATCAATATAATCAAGTTGCGTACATCTCAAGCATATTTATGATCCTTGAAAATCCTAATAGTATCTCAAACCTTTTCAAGTCCAGGTAATGACGGAGATCTCCAAAAGTCTCGGTGGAGTACATTTTCATGATAAATGTCTCCATACCATCCTCAGACTTTACTCGCAGTGTGGTGACGTCTTTTGAAGATGGTGGAAAATCTATCTCACTGATTCACACCACATGGATTGGAAAAGAGAATTATTCAAGTCAGCAACTCTAATCAAATTTTATGCTATCAAAGCCCTTCAGTTTGGTCATGACTAAAAGATCAGGTTTTTGATACCGTTCTCTCAAAGCCCGCAGGGCGGATGTTTCCACAGTGGTTGCTGAATAACTCTTGGCACCATCAGGGAAGCCCTTAATAAAACAAAAAGTCAGTTCAATGGGAAATGTGATTGACCGACTCTAAACAGAACTGACTGAAACATGACTATACTGACCTGTAGATGAGCCTTCACTGAGTCCCGTATACTAATCACTTTGCCTGCCTTCACTACAGTCTCTGGGAGCTTTTGCAGAAACTGTTCCATAGACAGTTTTTTGCCTGAATGCCACAGAAGATGGATTCAAATCCAAGATGTAAAGTATAGTACCAGTACATTGTCAAGTAAGTCATACCAATAACATGTTCAAACCTGGTATCTGACTCTGTTTTGGCGCTGTGGAGATGGTCTGCTCAGATCTGACCACCGACTGCCCTCTTGCTCCTTCTATAGTTTGTCCTTTTCCAGGAAACTCAGTCCATGGTCGCCTAACTACGAACTCCTCGTCCCGTTTGTCATTAACCTGTTTGTGTGGTTCAAGAACATTATAACAAATAAATATAGGGTCCTTCCATTAATTCAAGTCTATGGGATTGCTAAGTCTTCTCAACAGGTCACAAGGTTTGGTAAAAGATAAAATGCATGTCTACTGTACACTTGGAGTATGTAATAGTTAAAGGGATAGTTCACCCAAAAATTTGTTCCAAACGACTTTTTGAAGATATTTTGAAGAATGTTGGGAAACAATTGACCTCCATGGTATTATGTCCTGATTATCAGCATTCTTTAAAAATATCTTACAAAACTCTTACAGGTTTGGAACAACATGAGGGTGAGAGTAAGTGAAGTTTTTGGGTGAATTATCCCTTTAAGACTGGATTAATGATGCTGAAAATTCAGCTTTGTCTTCACAAGAATAAATAACAATTTAAAATTATATTAAAATATAAAAAACATTCTTTTAAATTGTATATTTCATGACTTTACATTTTTCTGTATTTTTGATTAAAATAAATGCAGCCTTGGTGAGCATAATAGACTTTCAAAAACAATCTTACAGACCCAAAATACAGATACTAATGATGATAACTGCATTAATTCCCAGTACACACCTGTAAGGGCACACCATTGGGAAACCTTTCCTGGAGCTCAGAAGGAAAAAACCCATCCATCAAGTCCTGCATGCATTCCTGCAACAAGAAGGTAAATCTTACAAGGAACACTCCATTTGTTTATTCATCTAAGTAATCTGAAGCTGGCTGTGGGAAATGTACATTATTTTTGTTTAGTCAAATAGAGTGATGTACTGTCAGACGAAAGTAGGAAAACTACTGAACCTGTGTGGTTGGCTCTTGATAGGAGCGGAATGGACCATTGAACATGACGATGCCGTTTTTGTAGAGCCAAAGAGGTATGGAAGACTTCTGGGTAAGTTTGGCCCCACCAGGAATGGCGGTCACATGGGACTCCCCTTCCCCAGCTTCAATGTTCAATTCTTGGATGTTCCATATGACCAGGTCATAGTTCATTGTGAAACTCTTGCGTATGCAAGTTACTGCTGAAAGTTGGCTGTTAGCTTGCTCGTCATAACCTCCAATCCAGATCATTCCATAATCATTCAGAAACTTCTGTGTGGGGGGCAAATGCCATTGTGTTGAGTTGCTAAAAACCATTTTGTTGCTATTATACAGGAAAAAAGCTGTGTATTGTTTTCTGCCTATCATAACATACATTAGTAACAGGTTGAAGGAAACGTCATTATAAACCTCGCACAAAGCTCACCTCCATTTCCAACACTTGGTTTTGAAGCTTGAGGCACAGTTGAACCAATTCTTCATCTTGGTTCTCATTTCTTGCAGATTTCTCTAAAGCCAAAGACAAACATATTTGTTTAGACAAGCTTTTATATGACTGGCTTTTGCTAATACTTTAATGTTAACCCCAGATCATCTATTCAACCCTGTAATATGTCCAGATGTTTGGCATCTCATTTGATTCTTATAACAAAAATAGTATAATGATGATGAGAATCAAACATGGATACATATTATTATTATTATTATTAATATATATATATATATAATTAATATATATATATATATATATAATTAATATTATATATATATATATATATAATTAATATTATTAATATATATATAAATATATGTATGTATGTATATATATATATATATATATATATATTCGGAACAGATAATACTTACATTTATTTTATATTATTAAAAACATCATTAATTACAATGATAAATGCTTAATTTATATTATATTATCTAAATCTTAATTTTAAATGATATTTTTCTCATTACTGTAAAGTGAATTGGGGGATTTAAAAGGTATTTAAATCTAGTAATAATGTGTTTTCTTTATGGGTTCTTATTGTTATTTGACATTATTAATTTTATTT